TTCAGGTGAGAATGCAATCTAATGAAAGAAATAAGAATGAATCTGGTGCATTAGATTGGGAGATCTAAGGGTTAGGATTGCATCAAAATTAGGTGCACCAAGATGGTTTGAAAATGCATCATGTCGAAATGCACCATAATCCTTTGAAAATGCACTATCTCAAAATTTGAGTGCAGAATGCAATCTGAGCCGCACGATGCTATATATATATATATATATATATATATATATATATATATATATATATATATATATATATATATATATATATATATATATATATATATATATATATATATATATATATAAACATAGAATCCAGTTAGGTACCCCTTAATTTAATGGTTTTTTTCCATCCAAAAATGTTGTACTCTTGGGCTTTAGTGTTGTACCATGTCATTATACTCCCCAATATGCCCCAGCCGTTAGAAACTCCGTCTATGCCCAGTACACTCCAATTTTCTTTTGCATCTGCGCAACCCTCCAAACACAACCCGGGTAAACGTAAAGGCGATGCAATTGAATTGCGAAATCCACGGCTTCACCGGATGGATTAAATGCTTGAATGGGCGTGGCGATGCAATTGAATTGCGATATCCACGGCTTCACCAGCTGGATTAAATGCTTGAATTGGTTGCAATTTAATATTGGAATTTTAGGGATTCACTCGATGCATTGCTACAAATTTTGTTTGATTTGTGGATTCCCCAATAAAAATCAGGTAATTGATTTGCATTACTTTAATTTATTCTTGGCCGTTTGGAAGCTTTTTGGGTTGTAAATTCCATAATATACTCCTTAATAATAATAATAATAATAATAATAATAATAATAATAATAATAATAATAATAATAATAATAATAATAATAATAATCTAAACACATGTTACTTTTTGGTCAATCATACCGCTATTTATAATAGGCGTTTGGAGATGGAATGAATCACAGTCTTGTGCTTTGGTTCCTGGTTAGAGAAGTCTTTCAGGTTTTTTCGAATTTACAGACTTTGTTTTTGAATGATTTTTTTCGTCCAATTGTGACACTTATTTGCAATTACCCATATTGTTTTGAATTCACAAGTGAATAATCTCCATGTTTAAATTTCTAGGTTCAATTTCAGTTGTTCTAATTCCTACATCATTATTAAGGGAAGTATTATTTCTTGAGGTATGTCAAAATTCCTATTTCATTCTCTTTATTCAATTTATCGAATTCCATTATTAAGTTTTTTCTGCTTTTGGGGTTGGTTTTGGTTATTGTGTTTGGGACTGGTTTTTGGGGTAGGTTTTGAGGTAAGACTTGGAATTGGGTTCTATTAAATAGGTTGTATACGAACACGCGTAGTTTAGGGATTTGATGCCTATTCCAGAGTACTTTAGAGGACTATGTTTTGGGATCAACTACTCTACATCCTCATTAGCCTTTTCCAGATGAGAAATGGAGCTGCCCAGTGAGTTTAACTCTATAAATATTTTTCATGTGTCAACTCTAAAAATTAGGAATGGAGCTGCCCAATGAGGTTTACTGATCAGCAATGGACTAGGTTTATGACTATTTTTCTGCTTTTGGGGTTGGTTTTGGTTTTTGTGTTGGGACTGGTTTTTGGCGTAGGTTTTGAGGTAAGACTTGGAATTCGATTCTATTAAATAGGTTCTAGGTTAGGTTTGGCGTTTTGTATTTGAGACTGGTTTTTTAGGTAGCTTTTTGGGTAGGTTTTGGGTTGGGTTTTTACTTTTGGTTTTAGTCTTTATGTCCGTTTTTGGCTCGAGAATTTAGGGTTTTGTGTCTGTTGAGGATATGCCATTTAACTATGGTTGTAGAGGCAGGAATTTTGTTCTAGACCTGCACTTTAGTTTTAGAGGTTTTAGGCCTTGTGTCTAGCGCAGAGTCTGGTTATTTGAGGTTAGGGTCTAGGTTTATGTTTCTGCTTTTGGGGTTTGTTTTGGTTTTTGTGTTTGGGACTGGTTTTTTGGGGTAGGAGTTGAGGTAAGACTTGGAATTGGGTTCTATTAAATAGGTTCTATAAGAACATGCATAATTTAGGGATTTGATGCCTATTGTAGAGTACTTTAGAGGACTATGTTTTGGGATCAACTACTCTACAGCCTCAAAAGCCTTTTCCAGATGAGAAATGGAGCTGCCGAGTGAGTTTAACTCTATAAATATTTTTCATGTATCAACTCTAAAAACTAGGAATGGAGCTACCGAATGAGGTTTACTAATCAACAATGGACTAGGTTTATGTTTTTGCTAAATAAACAATATCTAATTTTCTAGGTCTGTAGTTCAAATGTGGGCATTTTTTTGAAGGGTGAAAGTCAGGGTATACTATGCCCTCTCCCATTAGGGTTGGAATGGACCAATAAGTTTTAATATAAGACTGAATATGACTTTGTTTCATTTTTGTTCTTTAGAGGGGAGCCACATTGCAGTATACTTCGTATACTTCGCTGTCCCTACTTCGTATTCCAGTGAAGCCCACTGAGTTTGTCTTACCTTCGTTGAACTCCCAATGAATCGAGAGCCATTCTAAATAATCGGCCTAATACCTCTCAGAGTTTCCCAGTCTCTCTCGGTTCGACTCATGTGGGACGCTCGAGGCAGTAAAGTCATTCGTATCGACTTAGACCCTTCTTGCTGCCTGTGAGGCAGCCCTTGAAGCTATATTTGTCTTAGAGAGATGGGATCCAAGCGCAGGTGATACCATCTCTAACGAGATTTCTTGATTTGCATGAGCTCAGGGAAAAGCCCAAGAGATATAATAGAGAGAAAGGAAATTGGGCTAACGATCAGATAGTCAGATAGTCTACTATGGAGTATTATCTATATATTTTACTATACCTGACAGGATGAAATTGCTGTGTGTATTGGTTTGATTTGTGTGTCCTTATTATTTACCATTGTCCCACTATATATTGTACTCAGACCTTTGTGATTATAACCAGTTCATTGTAAACCATCCTGGTTATAAAAAGAGTGTTTGGCTTTGAAAGATATTATATTTGGCTGAGAATAGGTGTGAGCATGAAAATAGGTTGAAGTGAGCCGAATAATAAGTTTGAGTCGACTTCTATTCATTTTAAGCATTGTTTGGAAAAAGTTTTGTTCAAAAAATAAGTTGCTAAATAAACAATATCTTGTTTTAATCATAATTAAGGGGGATTTTAACCACTAGGAAATGAATTCTCATTTTCAAGACGGAAGGTCCTGCAGATAATAGTGAAATGAATTATCCAAAAAACTTGGTTATGTACCTCTTGTGAAATGTATTCTATTAAACATACATCCCACAATGCGGGTAATTCCTTCAGTTTCACCAACCTCAGTGTTCTCATTAGCGTTGACAGATTGTTTGCATTCCTCTTATTTAACATCAGGTGGAAAGCAGCTTGGGCAAGGCCAATTTCCTTAAAGTTCCTGCGGCAGAGGAAATTAATCAAAACTTACAGACCGCCATTTTCCTGTGATTATCGTTTTAAAAGCCAAGGTACTCTCTCAAACGTAGAATGTCTTGAAGTTTTGTGTCTGTGTTTTGGAAGTGGTGTTTCACTTGTTTGTTAGGCTGGATTTGGGGTTAGGATCTGGTTTTTGGCAATTGGCAGATCATGGGTATGCTTTTAATACTGATTTAGGGGTTTTAGGTCTTGTGCTTGGGTCAAGGTCTTCTTATTTGCGGTTACCTTGTGTTATTTAGATAGCTCCAATATTCGTAAACTGAAGCAACACTTCCTTCACAAGTGAAATCAAGGGTCTTAAAAAAAATAATCTCACACTGCATACGAATTTTGTTTAAATACCAAAGAACAACGGAAAGAAATGCATCAAGTGACCATTGCTTAATCATATATTACACCATTCACTTACACTTAAATAAATATTATAATAAAAATCAATGAAATAATATATTCATTCAACATAAAACACTACTAACCACGAAATACTCGTTA